TACTCCTTCTCATTCTTATACCATTTCCTCTTCCTCTTCCTCTTCCCCTTCCTCTTCTCCTTCCACTACCTCTTCCTCTTCCTCTAACTTCTTCCTCATAATCTTCTTCTTGCGGAGAGTTTAGCTTTTAGCTAATATAAATCTCCGTACTTTGATTTGCTTCCAAAGATAAATCCGTTTAGGTTTGTTTGCCCTCTTCTCTAGATATTCTCTAAGACATAGTTTCGGCAATCACTAAGCTGTTCTCCCTTTCCAAACTCGTCGTCGTAGTCATAGTTGTCGTTGTAGTTGCCGACGACGACGACGACGACGATGATAATGATGATGATAATAACGATGATGATGACGACGACGACGACGACGATGACGACGACGACGATGTTGACAACGGTGATGACGATGATGATAACGTAATTGAATCGCCCTCCGACTTTCGATATTTTTCAAGATATCTTCTACGTGCCGTCAAACGCATATGTTCCTTTCGACGTTGTAGAATGCGTTCTCTCTCGATCGATGATTTAGAGAAACGTCCACCGAGATTTGATGGTTCCTCACCGCTAAGAAACAAATTCAATTTCGTTAATAGGATCATATGTGTATATGTGTGTGTATGTATGCGCGCGCGCATGTATTTATAATATAAAATATATTAGGGGGACCGGAAAGTAATGTCGTTTCTGTACATGTCGATATTTGATTCTGATTAAAAATAAAAACTTGTTAAAAATTTATTCGTTTGAATTTAATTTAAGAAAGCGACATTACTTTCCGGTCCCCCTAATAATTATAATTAAAATATAAATATATGTATATATACATATATATATATATTTTTTTTTTTTTTTTTTTTTAATATAAATATGTAGAATGGATCAAAAGTTTCTTGACGGATGGTTCTAAAAAAAAAGAAAAAGAAAAAAAAAAGAAAAAAAAAGAAAAAAAAAGAAAAAAAAAAGAAAAAAAAAAGAAAAAAAAAGGAAAAATACATTTTTTTTCTTTTTCTTTTTTTTTTTTTTTCTTTTTTTTTTTTTTAAATATAATTACTCTTTTATTAGAGAGACTACTTAAATTCTCGTAATTAGTTTTGCGGCGGTTTTATAATATAGAAGAAAAAAGAGAGAGAGAGAAAAAAAGAAAAAAAAAAAAAAAAAAAAGAAAAAAGAAAAAACAGCAAAACAAAAAAGACGAGAAGAAAGTTAATCAACAAATGAAGTATAAAAAAAGATTAATATGACTGTTTCTTTGTTTTTTAAATCGTTTTTAGATATGCTTTTATCAATATATATATATATATATATATATACATATATATCCCTTTATATAATATTCTTCATATTATCAAATTGATAATACAAGCAAGATTTAAAAGCTTTCGAATAATGAATTTCAAATGAAATTTTTACCTATCAGCAACGGGTATGTCAAGCCTTGGATCTGATGTATTTTGAATCGACGAAGTTGGCAGAATATGTACCGTGGACGTTTGCGTTTGCGTTTGCGGAACAAATTCGGCTTGCGGTTCCTCGATCAAGTGATGAGGTAAAGTCAACACACCGTCGAGTATATTTTCGACGGTCCATTCAACCGATCGTGTAATTCTCAGATCCTCCAATATCACGTTCCGTGGATAATGTGGAAAGAGCTGTTGTACCTGTAAATATTTCGTTTGCATTAGGATTCATTGATCGGATATAACCTTGCCCGCTACTCTTCTTAATGAACAGAAATTAATTAAAGAGAAATGTAGATGGTAATTAGTTTTTATCTTCAAAAGAGGAAAAAGAAATAAAGAAAAAAAATTGTAATGTCTAGTTGATAAACTTGAACCTGTTAACCCTGGATAATCCGATTTTCTTCGAACTCGGAATGAAAAATTATCTCGGATAAAAGCCACTTGCTCTTTTTTCTTTTTCTTTTCTTTTTCCTTTTCTTTTTTTTTCTTTTTTTTCTTATTTTAATCAAAAAAAAAATTTTTTTTTAGTTTTAAATTAATCTTTTTGTACTTGTTCTTTTTTTTTGTTTTTTTTTGTTTTTTTTGTTTTTTTTTTTTTTTTTTAATTTAAATATTTTGCCATTATAAAAGATATAGATTGCTATAAAAAAAAAAAATAATAAATACATAAATGCCATATTATTTCATCCTTGAAATCCTGTAACTTTTTTATGACAGATATTCTCTTAAAAATTCTATGCTTACGAAATAAAAATTTGTAACGTTATATTTTAAACACCCGATATATATTAAAATATATCACTGTTATGACAAATTGAAATAAGATTTAGAATTATTAAATAAATATACATATATATCTATAAAACTTAATTAATAACTATTCGAAATTGTTAATATTCTAACTCACTTTTTGCTATGCACAATGCAATAATATGTTAATTCCAAAAAAAAAAAAAAGAAAAAAAAAGAAAAAAAAACTTTACAAGTATGTGTATAATGTATGTATCAATTAAAAATTAAATATGTAAAATTAATTGAAATTAATTGAAATTAATTGATTAAAAAAAAAATAAAAAAAAACATCAATTATTATCATTCAACATGAACTCAACAAGAATTTTTGTTTTAATTTTTCAATCCAACAAGCATTATATACTCATTTTAACAGATTAAAAATCCTTTGAAAATTGTAATTCGATTTAATTTAAAGAATACAATTATCTTAATCTTTCGAAGACTACTGACCTGTCTGGCCATTGCATCCATTTGAGAATTGGTATGAGCCGACGTGAAAATATTACCACGTAATCGACTATGCGAAACCTCAACAGAAAAACTTGGTAACCAAGAAACATATCGGGATCCGTCGAAATGAAAGAAATGATTGTCGTTTCTTCTTGTTGGTGTCTGCGGTTCCAATGGTAATTCGGGTGTACTCTCTCTATGATTGCCTTGCATACTGAGTGCCAATCTACACGTAGGACAGGACGTGTCCTGTTCCAACCAAGACTGCAAACAAGAGTTGTGAAACAAATGTGCGCATGGTAACTTACGTGCCGACTCCATTTTCTCCCAACAAATGGCACAGTTATCTGAATTTTCTGCCAATTCGTCTTGCGATGCCATTGGATAACTAAAAAAAAAAAAGAAGAAAAAAAGAAAAAGATAAACGAATGTACGAACATTTATTAAAAATTTTCATTATCATATTAAAATACATTTTGATTTTTGTGTCGATTCGATTGTAATACAATTTTGGGGGGGGGTTCCTTTTTTTTTTCTTCTTTTAATTCAGAGGATTAAATCCAAGAAAAAGAAAATAATGAATAAATAAAAATTCTATTGTACAAATTAAAAAGTGAATAAATAAATAAATTCCATAGATAAATATTCTATATTATATAAGAAAATAAATAAATAATAATTTTACTGTATATATATATATATATATATATATATATATATATATATATATATATATATATATATGGGAAAAAAAAAAGAAAAGAAAACGAATGATTTCGCAGAATATTTATCTTATTTCAGTGAAATCATTGCTATTACATGGATCAATTAAAACTGAATTATCGGAATCTCGTAGATTAAAACTCAAGGTTTTCATGAGATCATTTATCACCCTAACAGATAATTTGATTTCTGTAAAGGAGAGATAAGGAAGAAAGGAAGTAAGATTAAATGGATAGAGAAAATCTTTATAAAGGTTGCAAGTTCTTGAAATAAATGTCAGCTCGAGATATTGATCAAATTATAAATAATAAATGAAAGAAAAATGATAAAGAACTTTCATCCTTCATCATCTTCTTTCTTATTATTATTATTATCATTATTATTATTTATCATCATTATCTTTTTGTTTTATGGAAAGAATTAAAAATAAAATCAATTATTTCCATAGAAATTTTTTTTTGAAAAATTTAATTTATATTTCTCAAACGTTTACTCATATCTAATCGTATGAGTAAAGAAATAGTTAGACATAAGGAAATAATAAATTAAAATAAATAAATAAATAATTATAAACGTACTTTTGTTCCATATGGCTTAGTACAGCCAAATAATTCCTGTGTTTGGTGATTCTTCGTTGGATCTCGTAAAATAGATAACGTAGTTGCATACATATAACCAGTGATGCCATACTAAGGAAAATGTTGCTCCAAAGTAACATATGAATGTGATGAAAGAAGTCAACGGCCAAAGCGGTCAGTTCTGATGTCAAATCCGTGTAATAGGTCAAAGGTCCGCGTTTATCCCATGAACGTTGGGAAGACGTACCGGCACCACGTGTGTCGTACAGATGAATTACATACCGCAACATCACGTGAATCGTACGGACGGCCAATAGTATGCACTAAAACAAAAACGAAAAAAGAAAAGAAAAAATTAATAAATCTATAAATCTTATATCTAATAAATCTATATCGATACTAGTATGATTTCTTTTTTTCTTTTTTTTTTTTTTCAATGTCAGATAAATCTGACATTTATACGATAATCTTGAACGATATAAATTTGGATCGAAATTATTTTTGTATTATATATTCATAAGTGTATGATGTGAAATATTCGAACAAAAAAAAAATGTATATATATGTATATAAATAAATTAGTTAATAATCTGTTATATTAATAATTAAATGTAATAATAACAATATTTATTTTGAATTCATTTTGGAATAATAAGAAAATATATTTACTTATTATTTTAGAAGTCTTTATTATTTTAGATGATCTTTTTGACCATTGACATCGATGTTTTTTAAAACAAATCTATGTCAACTTCGTATTCGGATATATCTTTAATGATTGAACATACTTTTTAAATACTCAGATAATATGGAAATAATCGGTTTGGAAAAAAGAACTTTATGTGAAAAGGTTCACATAATTTACGTTATAAATAAATTGCGTAAATCGATTTACGGGTTTAGGGGAAAAAAGTTAAAAGTAAAAAAAAGAAAAAAAAAGGTGTAAAAAAAAGGTGCAAAAAAAAAGGTGCAAAAAAAAAAGAGAAACGAGAAAATCACAGTCATTTATCTGACGTGGCCGGTTTTACTCGGAAGACGGTACTCGAGAACGATACGCGAGCATATCGAACGACGAACACGTGGCGAAGAACTTCTGAATAAACTTTCGTCCATTCAACGTTACGTTAAGTTTATGAATAATCTACGTTGCCGTATCAAGAGAGTGCAGAGTAATGCTATGACACGTATCTATGTTCATACATACATAAGAGCGACTCTCGAGTATGTAACGTAAGAGTCGAGTACATCTACCTTTGATAAAAGTAACAAAAAAGAGAGAGAGAGAGAGAGAGAAAAAAAAGAAGAAAAAACGAAACGAAACAAAAAAAAAAAAAAAGAAAAAGAAACAAAAAAGATTGGATTATTATCATTTCATTAACATTGTTCTAATTAATTGAATTACTTGTTCCAATTAATCCAATCTTATCCTTCTTCTTTTTTTTTTTTGTATTTTTTGTTTTCATTTACAATCTATCTTTTTAATTATCGTCAATCATTACTTCATATTTCACATTTATAAATTATGTTCTGTCGTACAAACCATTAAATATAATACGACATCTCAATTAAATCTCAATTAAATATCTACGTTTATGTATTTTTGTTTTCATTATTCGATGTTATAAGCTGTTATTGTTTTTTTTTTACTTGCAATTTCCTTTTTTTTTTTTTTTTTGTTAATATCATTTATCTTCAATACTTGTTTTTTTTTTTATTACTATCATTCTTGTTCTTAATATATGATCATTTAATTTATTTATTTTTTTTTTTTATTTATATCTGAAAAATGATTAACTAAAGATAATATTATAAAAAGATTATACGTTTTCGTAAAATATATATTTTTATTGAATATTTGTTATAGACAAATAAACTCGCAATATCGCGAATCCGGACGGTCTAGCGTAGACTGAAAATCTCGCATTATCGCGGGGGTCCGAAGTGCAATGTATTAATTATTACTTTTCTTTTTTTTGTTTTGTTTTGTTTTTTTTTTTATTTTTTTATCGTCATTAGATAATTTTAGATGATCTCTATTTTTTTGTTGTTCGAACATCGTTCTTCAGCGTTATTTATAAATTAAAGTTTCAATGTATAAATTAAATTTTTTATCAGAAAATATTATTTCCTCTTTTTATTTTTGCTTATGATTATCATTTATTTTCAATCCTTATTGGTTTTTTTTATGTGTCTATATGTATGAAACATTTTATTATTATTATTATTTTTTTTTTTTTTTTTCATTTTTTTTCATTAGAATTATTTATATTCAATTCGTTTACATCGAAAATAATATTAATTTCATTTATATTTCATTTGTTTTTTATTTATTTATTTACTTTTTTAAATATATTATTCTGTTTCGCAAATAGCAAAATCTATTTTTTCTTATTGGTAATTCCATTAAGTGGAATTCTATATGGTGGTTTCTCTATTTTCATTTTCTATCATTGAATATAATCAATCGAAGTTTTTAATAAATGACAAACAATCCTAATGAGTTGAACAATTTCATACAATTCATATGATTTCAAAATAATACTATATTAAAAGTATTATTTTCGATTTATTACGTAATAAATATGTTATATAAAATTCTTGATAAATCTTTTAATTTATAATGAACTTATTGTATCTTTGATATACATATATTTACATATTCATAGAAAATTAGCATTAGAAATGCATAATCATGTTTATCGAACAACACGAAGATTACAAATCATTTTTGTTACATATTTATGTTTATTGCAGAAATATAATATGTTAATTATTTCTTTAAATATGTCGCTTTATAAATATTTCGTGCTATATTATATTTCATCGGTTTATAAAAAAAAAAAAAAAAAAAAAAAAAAGAGAGAAAATTTACATATATAAATATTTTTTATTGTTGGACGTTCATTTTTTGGTTTATAATTTTTTCAATCTGCATCGTTTAAATAAAAATAAATTGAGATCTTTTTGTAATGTTTAATTATAAAAAAAGACAAATTATAAAAAAGAAAAAATTAAAAAATATATATATTTTATATATATATATATATATATATATATATATATATATTTATAAATTAATATATATGTATATATATATGTACTTATGTTAAACATTAGAACGAATTTTATCGTTTAAAAACTTTAGTTTTTACTACCAAAGTTTAAACTTTTATTATTCGAAGAAACATTTACAAATTTTAATTAAAACTTGTAAAAAATATGATATTTTATTCACATTATTTATCACTTTGATTATTTCATATTTCATTTAAGTTCTTTATTCCTTATTTTATATCAATTCCTTGATATTTCATTCGATCTAATAAAATTAATGTTTTTATACATTTATTATCAAATTATATTAAAAATAATAATATTAATATCAAATTATATTAAAAATTTTCTACAAATGTTTGCAATTAATATCATAAATATATTGTCCAATAAAAATTTGTTCAAACATAATTTTATCAAAACAAAGCCAACATACTGTTATCCTGTTAAATAATATGCAAAATATATACATTACATAAGGTCCAAGGTCTTTGAAAAGTCATTATGTACATTTTAGATATCGCATTTTAGTTTCTTTTCTTTTTTTTTTTTATATACTATACAAGGATAAAGGTAATTACGTTTGATGCAAATTTGTGTAATCGTGGAGAAAAAAAAGAAGGAAAAAAGAAAAAAAAAAAAAAAGAAAAAGAAAAAAAAAAGAACATTGTGACATTTCAAATTTTTTTGCAATTTATAAATTTTCTATCGCAAATCCATGACAATGCTGATGAACGTTTTCGATAACATTAAAGATAAAAGATACGAAATGCGAAATGATAAGAAAAAGAATTTCCTAAAAAATGTTTTACGAAAAATTATTAAACGAAATTTCAAAGAATCGAATTTTTTCGTTCAATTTAACTCTATTAGATTATTTTTCATCGGTATTTTATTAAATCTAACGTATATACATATGTTAGAAAATAATTAATTAGGTAGGAAAATTCTGAAATCGTATTATCGATGCAGTTTAGAAAATAACACCTCGAACGTTGGAAAGTGTGTAGCCGTGAAACAATATATTACTTTCAGTTCTGTAGAAACATTGACGGTCGCCATATTGAAACAGATATATAAACATTATTAATACTTTTTTTTTGTTTTTGTTTTTGAAGACAAATATATTTTTCTTGTCTTAAAACCATGCTTTTTTTTGTTTTTTTGTTTTCTTTGGATTCCATATTATTTTTCAAAATAGATAGTGAGTTTTCGAACACCCTGTATAAAGATACTCAAAGAATAAGAAAGAAAAAAAAAGGAATTAAAAAGAAAAAAGAAAAAACATTTTCCAAATAAATCAGTGACATAATAAACTTCTTTGTTTATATATTTATATATTTATTATCTGATTAATTATATATATATATATTTTTTTTAGATAATAAATTGTTAATTATTATCTAAAATTAATAGATAATAAATTAATTAAATAATAAATATTTTCAAAGTATTATTAAATAAATAATATTAAATGTTTTTTAATATTTTCAAAATATTATTAAATAGAAAATATAAAAAATGTTGTGTGTGTGTGTGTGTATATATATATATATAAAATTGTAAATAATCATATAAATATTGACATTATAGTAACGAATAATGATTGATCGATCGATCAAATAGCATTGAAACTTTTCAAGATATCTTGGAGTATAATCAAGCTCAAGTGATCGATCCTAAAATGGAGAAAGATAAGTACCGAGACTATTGGAAATGGATCGTGACCGATTGCGTTCACCGATGTAGAAAGTTTCTAGAAGTATTGCGAATGAGAATCGAACAAAGATGCATATATATGTATCTTTTAAGAATAAATAGATACAAGGTAAAAAAGGTACTTAAAAATGTAATTGGTACGGGTTGTTGATCGAGATCTTTCTCTCTTGTTGATTTTAAGCAATTCCTTCGATATGTCGATTCGAATCTCTTATAATTATTTAAGTTTTCTATATCTCTTTCAAATTAAATTTATTTTCAAATGATACTATTTATACGTATATATACGTGTATAACATAGACACAGACACATATTATCCTTGATTATTACTTTTCAATAACGTATAAATAAAATTTCCAATACTAAAAAAAGCTAGAAAAATGAAAAATAAATGATAAATAGAATGATAAAAATGTTTTTGTTTTATTTAAAAATTCAAATTGCAAAATACCGAATACGGTAAATTTTTTTAAGATAATGCTTCTGTTTTCTTTCTTTTTTTTCTTTTTTCTTCTTTTAAGATCGTAAAAAACACCAAATTTAATTATTAATTTAAACGGTTTCGAAAAAGAATAATTGATTTTTAACATAAACTAAAAACTTTTCACTCGCTTAAGGACATTTGATTCTCTATATAATAATAATAACAATAATAATAGTAATAATAATAATAATAATAATAATAATAATAATAATAATAATAATAATAATAATAATAATAATAATAATAATAATAATAATAATAATAATAATAATAATAATAATAATAATAATAATAATAATAATAATAATAATAATGATAATAATAATAATAATAATTTGTAAATATTATCCGAATGTATTTAGATGTAAATAAATTTATTTTTCATTTTTCTCAATTTTAATAAATTAACGTATTTATTAATATAATTTCAATCATAAGTACGATTTTTATATAATTAATGATTAAACATATTATATAGATATTAGATATAAAAATGAACAAGTTTTTAATAAGAATACGATTTTTATGGTCAGAAATCATGTGATTTTTAAAAGGACAAGAGTCCTAACGAATGAAATAAGAAAAGGAGAGTATATGTCAGGAGGACGAATGGAGAAACGAAGAAAGAGAGAGGGAAATCGTTTCTCGGTGCAACGAGACTAACGGTATCTTTGTGATATATATATATATATATATATATATATATATATATATCACATATATATATATATATATATCAGTTCAAGTTACTATTTCTACGGTTTAAAAAGACTATAAAACAAGAATTGGGTCAATCTCTTGTCTTTTTCTCTCTCTCTCTCTCTCTTGATCTTCGTCGTCATTCGAGTGTAACTAACCAGAATGATTTATTTAATATAATAATTAAATTGCAAATTTTAATTATAAAAATATACAATAAAATTCTTTTTATTAAATAATAAAATAATAAAATTTCTAAGAGGATTATTTATTTCATACATTTACATTATCACATTGTTTCGTTATATTTTTTTCTTTTTTTTTAATAGGTATAAAAGTAAAAGTATGCGAATATTTTCTCGAAATTTTTAAAATTATTCAATTTTTTTATTATTTAACGACACGAAAAATTATAATCATCGAAAACATTTTAATCCTTTGTTACGTCAATGTCTATTTGACATTGACATAACATTTCGAAACATTCGAAACATTATGTATAATTCGAAATCAGTCGTATTCGAAAAAGAGATGGTAAAAAAAAGAAATTCGAAATCTCACTCGTACTCAAGAAGAAAAAAAAGAAAAGAAAAGAAAAGAAAAGAAAAGAAAAGAAAAGAAACAAGAAACAGCACAGATCTCATTTAAATTCTTTATTATTATTGTTGTCGAGGAAAAAAAAACAAAACAAAAATACAACGAGTTCTTCAAACACCATTGAAACGAGAATTGAAAAGAAACAAGAAAAAAAAGAAAAAGAAAAATAAAGAATTGCATTTTAAAGTATTTAAAAAATATAAAATTCGAAATAATTCAATCAAGTTTTCAAATAAAAAGAAAACAAACAAAAAAAAAAAAAGTAATCATACTCTGTATGATACATGTAATTAAGCAAAATTATGAGGAAAAGCATAAATTTCCTTAGAATAACATAAAAAGTTCACATTAATTTTATAGGTAAGGAAGATTTCGTGTTAACGGGTTCTGATTTTTTTTCAATGCTTCATTATAAAGTAATAAAGGAAAAAAAATAAAAAAAATAAATAAATAAAAAAGAAATAAAAAAAAAAAAGAATCAAAAATCAGTATCAGAAAATGTACTCGAACCTGTTTACATAAATCTATTTAATGAACGCACTTTAATTTCACTGATATATATATATATATATATATATATGCATACATGTTTATATACATACATACTTACGTACAACGTATACAGGATGAGTTCATAAGTTTTCAAGCGATTTTAAAAATCAATTATAATTTCCTTTTTTTTTTCTTTTCCTTTTTTTTCAATTTCATTCTTTTTTCTTTTTTTTTCTTTCTTTTTTTTTTTCTTTTCTTTTTTTTTTTTCAAATTGTAAACCTACAAAAGTCTAACTACGGGGCCTAATGAGTCTCGAACGAAAAAAAAGAAAAAAAAAAAAGAAAAATAAGAAAAAAGGAAAGTGTAATTGATTTTGAAAATCATTTAAGAACTTTTGTATCGCTCTGTATATCTGTATATATATAAAACCGTGTTCCTTTTTTAAACGAGGTCACTCGCGATTCTCATCTCTTATCTTTTCTTTGGAAGAAAACAAGAATGTTTTCTTCGTTTTGCTCGTTTTAGTGAAGGTGTGAAAACTTTGTAATAAACTTTCGTGGCTTTTAAATACTTTGAAAAGCAACGAGAGCGAATGAGAGAGAGAGAGAGAGAGAGAGAGAGAGACAGAGAGAGAGAGAGAGAGAGAGAGAGAGAGAGACAGAGAGAGAGAGAGAGAAAGAGAGAAAAAGATAATGGATTATGTATTACGCAACTACGACGATAATTTAGATTCTAAAGACGTAAAATAATAAAAGGGGGAATGAAGTTTCACCTTTGTTTACTTTTCCATAACGCTAACGTTAAATTATTGAAATTTCATTCATGAGGTGTGTGTGTTTGTGTGTGTGTATTTGTGTAAATTATATCAATAAGTATATCTATTTGTTTTATACAAATTAATTCTATCAATTTATTATCGTCTATATGTATGCATATTAAATCTTGTAAAACGAATTTAACATTTAAATTCACATGATTGTAAAATTATGATATAATAAATATATTATTATTAAATACTATTTAACGTGCAACATAACAGATATAATGTGACAAAATTTTATTTAATTTCGTAAAAATAAATTTACATGAATCTAATATATATATATATATATATATATATATATATATATATATTTTTTTTTTATTAATTACAACATAACAAAATGTATATTAAATGTTCAATTCGATTTAATGTTTAACGTAATATAAATGCGTCGAAAAAGTTTAATTTCATATACCAAATTCTGTCAAAATAAAATTGTAATATAATTTTTCAATTATATATATATATTTATTTATAAATTATATAAACTATATAAATTATATAAATTTTTATAAATTATATATATACATATATTTTTTGTTTTTTAATATTTAATCAATAATTAGGCATTAAAAAAAAAAAAAAAAAACAACTGTTATTTCAATATATTGATATGAAAAGATATTTTTTAATTGATACGAAGTTAACGAGTTTTTTTTTTTCGTGATATTGATACGTTTATATAATATTTAAAAATTTTTAATATAATCTTTATCAATTTGAACGTAAAAGTCACTCACCTCAGCCGCCATGAAAGCGAAAGTATTAAAGGACACTAAAAAGAAAACCGCTGCAGTGCACAACAGGAGCATGAATGTAGATAACGCTAGGATTCCTGTCAAAAGTCCAAAGAGTCGAGCGTGACTCCATCCTGGGGTAGTTGGAGAGAAGGATAACTGTAAGAGAGAGAGAGAGAGAGAAAAAGAAAAAAAAAAAAAAAGAAAAAAGGGGATATTAAAATTTCATAATTTCAAAACATTTCTAAATCCATATTTTGGATTAAGCAACATGTAAAAATTAATGTCATAATGATAATTCGTGTTTAACATGTTCCGTGCCAAGCCATTTTTCCCTGACTTGTCGTTCAGGCCATTTGATATTTTGACTAAAGAAAAAAATAACTGCGTGTACCACCGATGGTACACGTGGCCTAAAGATCGTTTAACGTGTACCACTGGTGGTACACGTGACCTGAATATCAAGTTTAACGTGTACCACCGGTGGTACACATGGCACGGAACTTGTTAAAACGTTCAATCAACGATCGAAGTAGATATTTAAATATTCTATGGGAATATATTCTTTCCTGATTATCATGAATTTTGGTTTTTAAATCAAACTATCGAAAAAATATAACTTCGGTTTTAGGAATATCATAAAAAAGAAAATTATATAAAAAGGACTTTAAAGAACGCTTACATAATATTATATTAAAATAATATTTAACGAGTAAAAGAAGAATTTTATATTAATCGATATTATATATTTAAATTATAATATAAATAAAAGATTTAAATACATTTAATATCTTTTCTATTGTTACTGTTATCGTCCATTTCTTCTTTTTTCTACGTTTAAATTTACAACTATTAAAAAACATACTTGGTTTTTTCTTTTTGGTTTTATCTTTTTTTTTGTTTCTCTTTATTTCTCCTTTTCTTTTTTTTCTTTTTTTTTTTTTTCTTTTTTTACAAATACCATAAAAAAATATCTTAAGTCTTAATCGTAGCGTTTATAAATAGTTTATAAAATGAAGCAACTCTATAAATTTAATATAAACACATTCATTTCTAATAATTATTATAACTACGACATTAATTTTAATTCGAAGATATATTTTTATTTCGATAAATCTTATGGGGGGAAGAAAAAAAAAAGAAAAAAGAAGAAAAAAAAGCTTTTAAAAATATTATAAATAAAACGAATCTACAAAATTGTTTAATATTTTGTCTGTCAAAATGTATCCATTTATCATTTATCATAATTCCGACTTAATTTTATTTAGGAAGTATAATTTTAGTCTGACGAATGTGACGTCATAATAAATCTAACGTACATAAATAATAATAATATATTTATTATAAAAAAAAAAAAGTCTAAAGAATAATAGAGGCAAACAGATAAACAGATAGACAAAGAAAAGAAAAGAAAAGAAAATAAAAAAAAAAAAAAAAAAAGAAAAAAGAAATAAAAAAAAATAAAAAGAAAACAAAAATGAAAAAAAAAAAGAAAGAAAGAAAGAGTATTAATAATTGAGTTCGTTCTGTTTATATGCATCGACGAATCAATAAAATCGAGGACGATAATCAATCAATATTTTCTCGTTTGTTCAGTTTTTGGATTTTTTTTTTTTTTTTTTTTTTTTTTTTTTTTTTTTTTTTTTTTCGAAAAAATGTGATGGATGAGTAGGGATTGTACTTTGGCAGACCTCTATCCAGTAACCTCATTACCTCTATTGGATTAGCCTAACGGGATTACGCGGATCTTAACTTGGTTGCGTAACGGAAAACTGCGTTCCTCGATATGCAATAGTAAAGTTGAGATTTTAAAAGAAGGTTCGTATTTGCCCAATCCTCGAGATAGATAGATAGATAGATAGATGAATGGATGGATAGATAAAAAAAAAAAAAGAAGAAGTAATAGCAATAGAAAAGAATATAAAGAGGAAAGAAATCGTTCACATTGAGATCGATGAATTTATAACAAACATACGATAGAATACATACATATTGTTCGTACGCTTTAACAATAAATCACAATCTATCTGTTAATCAATTTCGATCGATCGTTATTTTTTTGAAAAGATTTATAGACAATTTCATTTTTCTTATTAAAAGTAAATTCATTGTTAAATTATATCGACTTATAGCTTTATATTCATTTAATTATATTATTATGGGATATAATTAAAAATAAAAAAAAAAGAAATATTATTTCCCCAAGGAGGTACAATATCCAATGAAATTAAACAGGATAGATTTGAAAATGCAACATTTTCAATTTATTCTATTATTACTATTATTATTATTATTATTATTATTATTATTATTATTATTATTATTATTATTATTATTATTATTATTATTATTATATTATTATTATTATTATTATTATTATTATTATTATTATTATTCATAAATCGTGAATTAATTTGAATATTATTTCGATTATATTTTTTATTGAGTATAAAATAAATATAACATAAGTTTTTTCGTGCTCGATAATTTCGGGAACGAAATTGATTGATACAGTTTGGAAATAAAAATTTATTCTAAAAAATAATAATAAATCGTCAATTAATTTTCAATATTATTATTCCATTATTTTATCGAATAAATATATAAACGAATATTATATTACCGAGTTCGACAATAACCAATGAAGTTAAACACGACTGTTACTCGATATTCCAAATTATCTAATTATGATCAATTTTGTGATTAACACTAGATTGCTCAAGGAAGTCATTTTGACTGCTTTTTAATTTCAATTAGAAAAACAATTATATATATATATATATATATATATATATAATGACACAATTTCTTAGAATTTTTTTTTGTTAATATTTATTAATAACTTGTTATATAACTGTAAATAATGTAAAAAATATTAAAAATAAATTTTAAACAAATTTCAAAACACATTAGTTATTCGTTCACAATGCTGTCATTTTGACTGCTTTTGAGCAATATAGGTATATACTAAGTTTCGGTCTTTCTAGTGTTAAAAATTGCCTATGAACACAATAAACATCTAAATATTGGAATTCCATAATAAACAACAAAACTGAACACGACAATTACTCGACTTTCTAAATTATCTAATTATGATCAATTTTATGATAAAAATTGACTATTAATAATAATAATAATAATAATAATAATAATAATAATAATAATAATAATAATAAATATCGTAAATATTAATATTAATATTAATATTAATATTAATATTAATATTTTATTCTATTATATTTAATAAATTATACGAGAAATGTAATATTTTCAAGTTGGAGAAAAAAAGGAACGAAATTAAACACGATACAGTACTCGATTTCTCGAGTTATCTAATCCACGTAAGCGATTGTGTCTTTTACCGTAAAAGCTAGCGAGGATATGATTACAAACATGTATGTATCTATGTATGCATCTATCTATATACACATGTATATATATATATATACATATATATATATATATATATATATATATATATAAGCGTAAAGCGCTCGCTTAACTATCTCAAAGAGACAATTTTTATACCCATATTTATTATATCTCAGTCTTCGTATACGTATACATAGAAATTGAAAAACTGGTTTGTTCAAGAAAAATTCAAGGACTGTGGTTTGATAGAAGACGAAGTTTTCTAGTAAATTCTATAATATTAGGTTGGAAACTATGAAACGGCCGTTTTTGTTTAGTTATCTATTTTCATTCAACACCCGTTTCATAGTTTCCAACCTAATATATAAGTATTAGGTTGGAAACAATGAAACGGGCATTTTTGTTTAGTTATTTATTTTCATTCAACGCCCGTTTCATAGTTTCCAACCTAATACTTATACAATCGATTAATAACGAACGTTAAAAATTCAATATTTGTTATTTGTATATCATTTTTGATCAAAGAAGTTCTTCCTTCTTTTATTTTTACTTTTTTTTTTTGTTTGAATTTCTATTTTGTTTTTCTTTTTGTTTTCTTTTTTTTTCATCTTTTAAACGTTTAAATGTTTAACAACTTACGTATTCGAATCGATCCTTAGAAAGTTGACTAAGTAGACTCAAAAATCCAAGTGCTGTAAACCATGCACACCAAAGTATAACCTCGTCCATGTATTGTACATTGAGCACTCCAAAAACGAATATGAACTTGTAAAATACGAAGTTCCAGAATTTGTCCTTGAGATGTTGCCTCTCAGAAACTCGTAGATCACCGAAGACTAGTTTTTGAATGGACTTGCCTACTAGTATCAGCACGCAGTAAACCATGTTTATCAAAGTCTGTAATTAAAAAAAAAAAAAGAAGAAAAGATAGAAACAATATAAAGGAAAAAAAAAAGAAAGAATGTAAGATAAAAAGATGAGATATAAGTTTCGCAATGTGATTACTGGATTAATTCATCAGATGATTTATAAAATTATATATAAATTTTTTTTTTTTTTTTTTTTTTTTTTTTTAATCAATTATTGATAGATCAAATAAATGGTATTACAATAAAAAAAATATTATTTTTGTAATAGAATGAAATCTTTGTTGTTCTATTGAAAATTAAATTGTAAATTTACTTTTGATTTGTCGAATCACTTTTGAAAATACGAATTGAAACGATGCGTTTAGAACAATAACGTACATATATCTCCTGGCAAGAGATACAATAATACAATAACAAAATATAATTGTTGTTGTTCGTAATTAAAAGTATGTACAATTTTTCTTTATCATTATACGAAACTTATAATATTGTAATTAGCACAAACAATCTATCAGGAGTTCGTAAAATCTCGAATAAGATAGGTCAGTATCGATTAGCAATTATAGTAATTAGAAAAAAAAAAAAAAAAAAGAACGAAAAACAAAAAGAGAAAAAGAAAAAAAGAAAGAGAAGGAAAACAAATATTTAACGATGCTTTGAAGTGATCATTAGGGAGCTCAGCGAACCATGTCACTTCCAATCTCATTTGAAATTTAGAATAACATGTATTCTCGTATGGAGTCGATGTATAAATCAAAATGATATTTGGAATCGTCGATCGAGAAGGTTGGTATCAATGATTAACTTGGCAAAATTTCTTAAGACATTAACGCGTCAAAATTACTAACCAACGAAGACTCGATCGTTGCCAAATGACAGAATCACGTTCGAAAGGACATCTAATTCTAGATACTCCGTGTTATTCTATCTTATTTGTGAATATGTATCTTTAAATATGCGGAAGTTAAATCGCCCTAACAACGAATTTTCGTTTAGATCGATGTTATAAAAATAAATAAATTTACGTTTATTTTTTTTTACTTTAACAATGTATAAAATATTTATCTTCATTCACTTATGAGGTCGTTCTAATACGAAATATATATATATATATATATATATATATATATATATTTTTTATTATATCTTATTAGTATAACATCATTATATTATGATTAATAAACTCGAAAAGAAAAAAGAAAGAAAGAAAATTAAATCAACAATTATTTAAAAAAAATAATCTGTAAAAATTAATAAATAATAACATAATAATCGTATCATTTATATTATATATACATACATGTATATATATATATATATTTATATTTATAATCAAATTAGTTCTTGGAAAAAGATTTAATATATAATAATAAACGTTTTAAAAAAAACAATTTACAATTCCTAATATTGACCTGAGACAAAATTAGTATCAAATAAGAAATTAACGTAACATTGATATACATTCTACTGGTGAGATTTTCTTAACATTTTAATAATTCATTCATTCATTCATTCATTCATTCATTCATTCATTTATTTATTTATTCAGTTTCAAATAAAAAAAAGATAGTAAAATCTTTTTTATTTCTTTCATAACGAAAACAACAATTTTTTAATGAAATCGCAAATGATTCACGTGACAATACATAAAGAAAGACATTGAAGATTAAGTAAAGGTAAAAAAAAAAAATGTAAAAAAAAAAAAAGAAATAAAGAAAGAATAGAGAAGGTAAATTACGTGCAGCGGATCTCTATGATAAAAAAATCTTTATAATAAAGGGGGACGTGGGGGCGGGAAGGAGAAAGGAAAAGGAACAAAAAATAAAAAGCAGAAAAAATTCTTGATCAATTTCGTCTAAATCGAAGCCCCTATGGTCGACCATTTCGTATTATAAAACGTTTGATTAATTTCTCGAATGATCTTAAAACATTGTCTATTTGATGCGTTTAATGATAGTCGAAATAAAAAATGTAGAACTGGTTGATCAAGTATATATGCAATCATATAAGCATACATTAGTTAGTGCTGGCTAAGTCGAGTTTAAAACAGAAGAAGAAAAAAAAAGGAAATGAAAAATAAAAAGAGAGACAGAGTGAGTGAGTGAGAGAGAGAGAGAGAGAGAGAGAGAGAGAGAGAGAGAGAGAGAGAGAGAGAGAGAGAGAGAGAGAGAGAGAAAGAGAGAAAAGAAAACTTATTCCTATCTATGATAAATGGGAGCTATAATTAAATAAAGGAAAACCTTTTTAAAAAACAATTTCTTATATGTCTAGCGGAATCGACAATATTTTTTAATAACACGTTTTAAAACTAGTTTTAATATTAAAAATTTTAAACAATCTCGATATTCTATACAATATTGCAATATCACATTGACACGGTAATTTTAAAAGGGAATTATTATTCTATTATTACAACTGACGCAATGCGGTAATAATAGTTGATATATAAAATTATCGCGATAAATATATTTTCATCCTTTTTCTTTTTTTTCTATTTCTTTTTTATATTTTCTTTATTTTTCTTTTTTTTTATTTTTTTTTTATTAAAAAAAAAAAAAAAAGAAAAAACAATATTGTTTTCCTTCGTACCATTTTACAATGTCATTATTTTATTACTTTGACATAGTAAAACTATTAACTAGAACGAAATTCGCAATATAACTGACGCAATGCGGTTCTGGTATTGCTTTTATAGGACATACGCTATATATATATATATATATATATATATATATATATATATATATACACACATACCTTGAAAATGTAAAGGAATATCGAAAAGTTAATTTTAAAAAAAAATTTTTAAAGAAATATTTCAATATACCTTGAAACATTATGGGAATATCGAACTACGCTTTCTTAATATCATTTTATTTATATATAAAATTCTTTCAAATGTATTAATTTATCATTTAACGATAAAGACACGTACAATATTTTTGACATCGATAATAACTATAACGTAGAATTTTAATAATTTCGTACATTTATATTTTATTTATAAAAGGAAAAACATTTTCAAATAATTCTAATCTCATTAAAAAAAATATATATATATATTATACTTGGGATTTTATTATCGTTTAACGATTATAATATTTATCTGAGTCTAATAAAAATGAAAAAAAAAGAAAAAAAAAAGAAAAA